CGAGAAGTCGCGAAGCTCGTTCAGAAAGATCGGGTTGCCGAGGCCGCCAGACAACTCCTTCGCATATTTTACTAAGCCATCGATCTCCCCGGGAAAGAGAGAGCCTGCGCGAGTCGCCTCGCGGATCACACTATCCCAATCGATCGTGGTGCCACCCGTGTGGTGTCGGTTGGCAATTGCTGCGATCTTGTACATGAGACTCATGCGAGATTCGCATCTGGCAATTTGTTGGCCTGCATTGCCAGCCTCCTGAGCAAGATTACTAATCCACGGGAACTCCTTCACGAACTCGTACCGAAAGACCTACCACTCAATTCCTTCGTCACACGCCTTAGCGTAGTCTGGTTGAACCTCCCGTAACCTCGTCAGTGACAATTTCCCTTGGTGCGAGATTCTGTCGAAACGCTCCGGCATGACCGTGGGTGCTGGAACCCCTGCGTTGATGCAACGCAAACCCATGGATGTGTGGCCGCACGTATAGGATGCGAACTTTGCATCGCAATCATACTGCGGCAGCTGGCCCGCTGAGTCCTCCATTATTTTGAAATTGAAGGTCTTGATTGCATTGTACTCAGGCGTGCCCACTGGTGGAAGTTCCATGCAAGCTGGATTCTGGAGGGCTGAGTTCTTGAATCCATTTTTGAAGATCTTGGAAATCAAATCCATAACCTCGCTCGGAATGATTCCATCTCCGTAACGATTCTCTGTGCACACCACCATATACTTCGAGTGTATTTTTTCTACCCTCAGGCAGCCTATGCCTCTTGCAATGCTGCATACGTCTTCATCATCTTGGGGCGGACCTCCGCGATCTGCTGTTCACGGGAGGCGTTCATCACGCCGCGTGCAGGAGGACGCCACAAGCGCCAGCAGCAATCCACGCCCAAACGGCTGGAGCCCAAACTCTAGTGACATTCAAAAACATGTGCAACAGAGGGTTGCGAATTCGAAATGATATGTTGCATTTGCAATGCACAACATTCTTGTAACGCTCGATACAATATTCTGAATGCGTTCGCACGCAAGTCTGGATCATGATTTCCGATATGCGTGATCCCGAAAATCCAAACACATGCTTGCGTTTCTGGAGGCAACATCCAAGGAAAACCCGATGCAGCAGCTCTGTTTTCACGTAAGCATGTAAAAGTTAGCGAAGTTAGCAACTTCGCTAACTCAAGCTATCTACCTCCAAATGCACCGCCCGAGTTAGACGACTTAGTAACATTACTAATGGTTATAACTTACTTGCAACCTAGTTGCAACTTACTTATAACCTACTTACATGTGCTGCTAACAATTAGTAAGGCCGAGGGCCTTCAGGCAGTCCGGGCGCCCAGGCGTCCGGGCGCCCGGGCGTCCGGGCGTTCGGGCGTCCGGGCGCGGGCGCCCTGGGCGGTTCTGGGCCTGGCCAGCCGGGCGCCCAGGCGCCCGGGCGTCCGGGCGCCCGGGCGTCCGGGCGTCCGGGCGCCAAGCCGGGCCTGGGTAAAATTGCGCCATCCCTGTGCCTCCAGCTCAGGCGGCAAGGCGGGCATGATGAGTTCACAGGTTGCCGAGGCACGCCGTCTTTCTTGGTGGATTTCCTCAAGGCGCCGCTTGGCCACAAGCTGATTGCTGTCAACCAGAAGGGGGATCTCACCTCGGTCAGCGGCGGCGCAGTTTTCGCATGCGTTGGATGCGGAGCCTGGGCGCAGCAGCGGAGGAAGCTCAAGTTGCGCTCTGCATGTGTGGCACCGACAGCGAAGGGGGCTGAGGTCCTCCACAACTTGAGGCAAGGAGTGGGTCCTCATAAGAAGCTTGCCAAGTTCATCGATGCCACCGTCCAGCTCAAGAGGATAGCGCGCGAGGAGGCCAATCCAGTCACGGTCACCACGTCAATCAAGCGTGCTGACCCCGAGGGCCCCTACATTTTCGAGGTGCGCATGGCGGCCCTGCACGAGCGTATCAAGCAGAAGAAACTTGAGCGGCAGCGTCGGGAAGATGAGCGCAACGGTATCCTTGGGCGAAGTTCGTTCGTGAGCATGTCTGAGGAGAATGCCAGGCCAGTGAGTGCTGGCGGCGAAGCAGGGGACATTGACACGTAATTGGTGTACTAGTGGTTCCGTCTGACGGCCAGTGCTGCATGCTGGTCCATTTCGTGAACTTCGAGAAGTTCCTTTTCTGGCACGGCGAGTTCGTGCGCCACGCTGCCTGCGCTGCGGCCCTCGCGGTGCTCCAGAGGCAGCCCCAGCTCTACTTCGACTGAGGAGGGGCTGCGCGGGTGGCGGCCGCCGCCGCCCGTCGGATCCCAGGACGTGGGCATTGCTCACTCGCTCACTCACTCCTCCTCCTCTTTCTCCTCGTCCTCCTCCTCGTCCTCCTCCTCCTCCTCCTCCTCCTCCTCCTCCCCCTCTCTCCGAGGCTCGGACCATCGAGGATTGAGGATGCAGGTTGCAGGATCGAGGGCCGGGGATGTAGGTCTCGGGTTCGAGGTTCGTTGGTGCAGGCTCCAGACTCGAGGTTCGAGGATGGAGAGTTCGGGCTCGAGGATCGAGGGCCGAGGATGCGCGTAGACTTCCCGGTTCGGGGGTGGAGGCCTCGGGTTCGAGGATCGAGCATCGAGGGTTGAGGCGCATGCCTCTAGAGCAGGCAGGGAACCCTCGTGCCGCTTATAGCTCAGAGGGAACAGTCATTGCTCCCGGCCTCCCGGATGGGGTCCGAGCAGATGGGGTCGGGGGATCGCGCCGCATAGCCGATGCATCGGCGATGCGGCTCGATGTGGAGCCCCATCCTCTCCACGCCGACGGTGCCGAAGTCATTCGCCGACGTCGGCGATGCACCGATGATGCGGCGCGATCCTCCGATCCCAGCTGCTCGGGCCCCATTTGGGAAGCCTCTATGCTTGCATGGATCCAGGAGCTCCGATCGTCAATGTCTTCGATGAGTCTCCCCCGCGAGTACGTGTAATGCCCGCTCCTGGTTTATCTTTCCGTGTTTTTAATGCGTTTCGCGCGTGCCCGCTCGAGGAACGTGCACCCCCCCTATCTCGGATCCTCTGCAAAAAAGTGGGTCCGCATACCATAGTTTTCTCCCATGGAGGTAGAGGTACGAAGCGTTTTGCGCAGAATCGTTGGTGATGAACGCAGTCAGGAGGCCCTAAACAATTGCAGGAACTAACAACTGCTTGCGTGCCAGATCGAGGATGGCGCGTCCTGCGCGGAATCGCAGGGAGGACGCCTCGAGCGAAGCGCTTGCGATGCAAAACTCGAGGGGCTTCGGCGCCCCAGGCGTCCTAGGTGGCTCCGAAGTCGCGGAAGCGCGTGGGAACATGCGGGTCCTTCACGCCCCCTGGGCGGGACACGCGTGGGCACACGTGGGCCCCTCACGCCCCCGAGCGGGACCAGCGCGAACCCACATGGGATCCTCTTGCCCCGGAGCGGGGCAGCCGTGAACCCACATGGGTTCCTAACCAACGCCCCAGGGCGGGACGCGCGTGAGTCCACGTGGGTTCCCGACGCCCCAAGGTGCGACGAGAATGAACCCGCGTGGGCCCCCCCCGCCCCCGGAGGGGGACAAAGCGTGAAAACGCATCGGTGCCCAGGGCTCCAGCGCGGGACAAAGCGTGAAAACACGGGGGGTCCCAACGCCCCAGAGAGCGCCCCCCCCCCCCCCCCCCCCCCCCCTGCCGCGTCCCTTGACATGTCCCCTGGCGCATCCCCCAATGCGCCTCTGGCTCATCCCGCGGCGTGCCTGTGCGCCCTGCGCCCCGTGTCGTCCTCGTCGAGCTCGAGCTGACAGAGCGCCCCACACGTCTCGAATGTGAAGCTTTGGGCCAGCGACGCGCTCAGGCAGCTCGAACTTAAGATCCAGATAAGTTCGGTCAGGGTTCGGATGCCAAGGGTGACGTGATCCGCAGAGCTATAGAGCACAACGCAATTCATCGCGGCATGACGCGTTTCATTTTCGCACGGCACAGCACATCGCAATTCTTGGCACGGTGCAGCACGATCCATATTTGTTGCATTGCAATTGTTTGCCGCCTGATCTTGTGTCTTGAACAGGTAGCCATGCCTCGCCTTCCTAGTTTCCTTTCCGGGCTCGTGGGTCGATCGTGTTTCTCGGAAAGGGCTTAGGCTTAGGGTTTTCTTTCAGTTTGTTCCCCTTGGCCTCTACTTGCGTCGCAATCGATTAAGGGGCTCGGTCCCTTGCAAAGGTGATCGCCACAGGATATACAGGAAAAATACTCAGTAAAAAACATTAAAAACTATTAACAACCATAAGGAAAACAACAGTTTTTTTCATAAGAATCGAAAAAAATGTTTTTTACACATCTGAACTGAATTCCTATAGCTGCCCGAACCCGCTCAGGACCTGGCTTTCGGTGTCGTTGGCCCCACAAAAACTAAGGGGAAGGGGGCGACGAGTCAGATATAGGCAGATGGTGATGCATTCAGAGACGCAGAGGCAGTTCAGATCATCATGGGGCAGAGCAAGATTAGAGCATCATGTTTTCTTGTTCTCTCGACTTGGGGTGTCCGTTGGCCGCCGCTCTGTTCAAATCGGGGCACGCTTTCGTGCGTGCTCTCTCTCTCTCTCTCTCTCTCTCTCTCTCTCTCTCTCTGTCTCTCTCTCTCTCTCTCTCTCTCTCTCCCTCTCTCTACTCTCTCTTTCTCTCTCTCTCTCTCTTTCTCTCTCTCTTTCTCTTCTCTCTCTCTCTCTTCTCTCTCTCTCTCTCTCTCTCTCTCTCTCTCTCTCTCTCTCTCTCTTTCTCTCTTTCTCTTTTTTTTTTTCGCCCGCGGCTCCCCGTCAGACCCGGCCGCTTGCCATGGGCAAGCGCGCAAAGGCCGAGGCGGCCAAGCCCCGGCCCCCCGCTGTCAAACGGTCCAAGCAGATCGGCACGACGCAGACGCCGTTGCGGTTCGACGCAAAGGAGCGCCCGCCGCCAGCTTCGATCTTCTGACGCCGAGAAGGAGGGCGAGGAGGAGGAGGAGGAGTGAGGTAAGGAGGGAGGAGGAATGAGGAGGAGGAGGACGAGGAGGAGGAGGGGGAGGAGGAAGTGTTGCAAGATGAGGGTTCGGATGGAGGCAAGCTGTGGAGTGGTGTGATCCAAAAGAAATAGGGATGGCATCGCGATGGGAGCAGGTGAGGAGGGGCAGGTTTAGCCATGAGCAGGGACATTGTGAGAAGGGGGCAAAGGAGGCGGAGGAAGAGATGGGCGCGGGATTGGAGAGGGGAGAGAGCGTGGGCTACGAGAAGGAGAAGGAGCAGTGGAGCAGGATGATGATGAGGAGGCATGCCGCTTCGTGTTGCCATCGTGTCCCAGTGTTCTCTACCTAGGCTCTGCCTAGAAGGGTTCTCACCGCGTGAGCTTCAGGGGCCAAGCAGTGCAAATTGCCCCGGGCGGTTCCCCCGGCATCCGCCCCGTGGTTCCCCCAGTGACGCCCCCTTAGCTCAGCGTTGCTTATCTCATCTTAGCTTAGTATAGCTTAACTTTGCTTTGCTTAGCTTAGCTTAGCCTAGCCTAGCGTAGCTTTGTTTAGCTTAGCCTAGCCGAACTTAGCTTAGCTTAGCTTAGCTTAGCTCAGCTTAGCTTAGCGTAGCGCAGCGCATCATTAGCATAACATAGCATAGCATAGCATAGCATATCATAGCATCGCATCACATAGCATCGCATAGCGCAGCATACCATAGCGCATCATAGCGTATAACAGCAAATGCCGTCCTATCATATCGCATCATAGCATAGCATAGATTAGCTTAGCATAGCACAGTGCAGCATCGCATATCATAGCATACCACATCATAGCATATCATAGCATAGCGCAGTATACCATAGCATATCATAGCATAGCATAACGCATCAACTCATATCATAGCATAGCAAAGCGCAGCATCGCATATCACATCATAGCCTAGCATATCATTGCAAAACGCAACATAGCATTGCATCGTATATCAGAGCGCATCATAGCATATCATAGCATAGCCTAGCGCAGCATAGCATATCACACCATAGCCTAGCATCCCATAGTGCAGCCTAGCATACCTAACAAATCATAGCATAACAGCGCGAATCATAGCGCAGCATAGCGCAGCATATCACAGCATATCATATCATAGCGCAGCATAGCATAGCATAGCGCATCATAGCATATCATAGCCTAACCTAGCCTAGCATAGCCCAGCAACGCATCGCGCAACATAGCATGGCAGAGCATAGCATAGCATAGCATTGCATAGCGCGGCTATGCTTGCGATGCTATGCTAGGCCCCCCAGTGGGTGCCATACTAATGTTGCTTTCCTAGAGGCTCCATCTCCTAGGTAGGGCCGCACTGGGATCATCTCTTCACCCCGAGTGCCTCCCGCTCTCAGCAGCTCTGGCCCACCCTTGCCGCGCAGATCCTCCACTCGGCCTCCTCTGCCTCCCTCGTCGTTGGAGCTTTGTTGGCTCGATGTCGAGCCCCGACCTCCCTGCGGGGGAGAGCCCGCCACCTCTCCTCGTCCCGAGCTTGGATGACGCGGCGGTGGATCTGGTCGCGTCCTTCGAGGCTGCTTTCCCTCGGGCGCCACCTCTGCGCAGCCGCCGGGCAGCGGCGCCGATCGTGTCCATCAACAAGGCTGCGTCGGGCCGATTCGAAAGCCTCCTCCTCCTCCTCATTCTCGAATTCCTCCCTGTCCGCCTCCCTGTCCTCCTCCTCCTCCTCCTCCCCCATCCGCCCTCTCGTCCTCGTTCTCCTGCACCTCCTCGTCCTCCTCCTCCGCCTTCTCCTCCTCCCCTTCCCAACTACCTCGCCCCTACTCCTCCTCCGCCCCCTCCTGCCACTTCTCCTCCTCGCGCCTGGCGCCTGCTGTCACATGGGCCATGATGGCCCCGCTAACCCCGCGGGGGGTTTGTTGCGGCCTTAGCCCCCGGGGCTACCTCGAAGGGGGAAGGCGCCCTCAACACCTTGAAACGCGACAGGCCCTCTCCTCGCCCGATTCCGCCCGCAGAGGCGAAGAAGAGCCGCAAGCGCAAGCACGAGTTGAACGCGGCCAACCTCGAGAGAGCTCGGCGTTATCTTGGCAGACGGCAGCTGCGCATCGGGGATCGCTTGAAGGACTGGA